AATTGTTTGATTCTAAAATTTCTTGAAAATTAATTTGTTTCAGAATGGAAGTAAACAAAATATAGTTTGTTTGCATTGGAAAAATAGGGAAAACAATTCAACATTGAGTTTCGAAAACTTAGATACGTTTTCTAGTCATAGAAATAGCAGACATAAGATATTGAAATCACTCCATTGAGAAGGAAACACAGAAGCATTGCATACAAACCTCATAATACTACAGTAAATTACCCTTCACATACAATTATCACCTTAGAAATTTAGATTTAAGGTAACGTTATCAAATTTCTTGTGGGTTGCAGATACAAAAAATATTCAAAACTTGTCTAATTAAAGTCATATGAAACTTGGAATTTATATACAAAAAGAATATGTTTTATATACTTGAATGACTAAGTTTTACTAAAAAAAAACACGTTTTTTTGGACTTTTAAAAATTTTAAATAAAATCCTTCATATTCTCCAAATCTTGAGAAATATACTACTATTGAAATTTAATTATTGTGTTACCGTTCGCCGACATGTTTTCAGTATGCAGTGATCTTAACAATGACCCAACTGACTCGTCAAAAATTGACAACTGCACAGGGAAAGTGCGACGGATTAAACCATGATGAAAAAGGTAAACAACCGGAGTGGAAGGTAGGAAATTAGAATTAAATTAAGGAAGTTCGCTACTCAGTTTCAAAATAACAAACTTTTCATAACACTAGTATATATTGATAGGCGATTAATAAAGGAACCAAAAAAGCAAAATAAAAATAGGTCCGTATGCTTGTTTTCGAGATATTAGCCATTGAAATTTTGGCTGGAAAATGTTCTCTCTTGATTTTTTATTGCTTTATCATTGAGGAGTTTAAGTTATAAAAAACTATTAAAAAGTAACAAAGATTTTATAAGACTTTTACAGTTGACTTATAATTATACATGTAAAAGATTTATAAAAAGAAAAATAGGGTTAGTGGGCAAAATTGTTTAAGGCATTCAAATGGATAAAACCAGAGGATTCCGACAATCTGACAAAAATTCCAAAACATGACGAGCGAACATCCTTAATTGATTCTGAAAGACAAATTTCAACACACCAAATCATTTATAAACGACTGGTATTACAAAGTTTAATAGATCTGAACGCATGGCAAATAAAAAAAACCTAAACAAACAACGCTCTATTCATGTTATTATCTCACTTATTTGTCACGTGTTCCATGATTTAAGTTCATGTTTATCAGGGTCGTTATCGGTGAACTTCAATATGAAAACCAGAAATTTACTGTACGGCTTTCAACAATGAACAAAACTTATACTGTATAGTAAGCTATAAAAAAAGCATAGGAAAGACAAAATGATAAAAAGTTTAAAAGTGAAAAGCAACGGCCTGAAATGTGCTTAAAGCAATGACCGATAACGATTTTGATTTGTGGAATTGTAAAATGTACATTTAAAAAATTGGCTTGACAAATTCTGTATCCATATCTTATTTTCTGTTGTTATTTGTTGAATATGTGTTGATGGCAGATCTTTTATATTGTCCTGATATTTAACCGCAATTTAAGAATTGGATGAATAATGCAGGTAGTATAAATCGTACCTATTGTTAGATATTATTATCAGTTGACCTCTAGATGCCTTCTGATTTATTGTGTCGTTGATTTATTTCCTATTTGACGTATACCTACGTTTTATTTTATTCATAACTTAGTATGTTAATAAAATAAAGTTAAAAAAATGCCGACCTTATTGTGACTTTAAAGCTCAAGGCGTATCATACGCATGTATAATGGGTACCTGGATCTTATTCGATTATTTTTTTTTTATATCAGTTTGATGTCAAGATATTTATAGGTGTATTCTAGTGGGTTCCATCTTGAAGAGGGAGGGTTCCAGCCTAATTTAAGAAATTTAGGGAATTATATTAAATATAGATAAAGGCAATAGTAGTATAGGGGGCACGGTAGTATTTCTTTGCCCATAAGGGATAATGATTGCCTTTTTAGAATTTTCACCACTTTCTAACACTGCCAAAAATTCTACATAAACAGTTAACTGAAGTACTTTCCTTATACTATTCAGAAATGAATTTGAATATGTATCATGACCGTTTACTTTTTTTGATATCTTTAAAAACCTAAGGCCACTAGTGCTTTTAGGTCTTTTATCATGCAGTAAATACAAAATTTAAAAAAAATCTCAAAAATTCATTTTCACCTGTATGTAAAATCATTTCATATTTTTCTACACCTGATTCATCCCTCAGTTTGCGAAAGTATGTTCAGTTGATACTGTATTTTTTGTCCAATCGCACTGTTCAGATACATTGACTTAAGTAGGGTACACAAAAGAGCAACCTAAGTTCTGGAATGCAAATACTACCGTGCTACCTTAACCAAGACCTTACAAACTTGAAATCAGTCATGACACCTATGATGCATAGACTGCTGACTAGGAAACAAATTACAATAAAGAATACTAGTCTGCACTTATTTCTTACCCAGAAATATTAAAAAGTATACCCCTACCCATGCTGGCAGATTTTCACTTTTTTTTCATCTGAACATTTTTACTTAAGGAGTGAACAAAACCCAAATATATGTTGTTTCAAATCAACAAAGAAGTAAACCATGGTGATTCAGGAGGAATTATTGGATTGCCAACTCTATTTGAAGTTAAGCTGACTGAAAGAAACAGTTTAAGCACCAAATCATGACAAATGTTAGTAAAGTCCATTTCACATTTTACAGCATGCCTTACATTCCTTTAAACATTTCCAGATTATGAAGGCAATATAACAAGACTCTTCAGATGGCAGTTAGCTATTATTCAAAGATCTTTTTGACAATGCATGTACTAGAATATATCTCTAAGTTGACTGTTTGTCTATTTCTCATGTATGCATCAAGTTAAATTATGTCCCCTTACATAATCAATTTAGCTTTATTGTGCTTTTCAGGGTCAGAAAATCAAATAAATTAATGACATTTGCATGGAAAATGAATAAACTATTTAATCTTGCTGATATACAATCATAATCACATACTTTGTTTCCAAAAAATGTCTTGTCAATGTAAAGAAACCCCTATTGTTATCTCTATTTCAGCTAAATATGAGGGTTAAATGAATAAGTAAGGACCCCCTAACCACTTACTGGTTCCAAATATGCTCATACTGGTGTCATGTTACCACAGAACTACAAATCAAACCTAAAGAAAACTAGTATAGCTGTACTTGTGTGGAAAAAATTAAGAAATTATGCACTTTATTCATTTCGGTGAAAATAATAGGACGTACAGGCAACTAAAATAGGTCGCGTCTCAAATTTCAGCTGTTGCACATGTGTCAGACACTGCGAAAAGTTAAAGCGAACATTTATGATTAAAAATGTATTGCAAGTTACATAAAAATAATAAAGTTCTACTTTCTAGGTAAATTTTTACATTATTACCCACAGATCAGGCAAAATTTGCTGAATCAGCAAATTTCACTCCCAGGGGTGGAATTTAAGGTCTGTTTTTATTCTAGTTGCCCTTAATCAACTTTTTATTGATAAACTTACAAATTGAATAGGTAAAAAAAAATACCTTTAGTGATTTAGTCTAAACATATATATCCAAGTTAAGGGGGCACGGTAGTATTTCCTGGCCCATAAGGGATAATGATTGCCTTTTTAGAATTTTCACCACTTTCTAACACTGCCAAAAATTCTACATAAACAGTTAACTGAAGTACTTTCCTTATACTATTCAGAAATGAATTTGAATATGTATCATGACCGTTTACTTTTTTGATATCTTTAAAAATCTAAGGCCACTAGTGTTTTTAGGTCTTTTATCATGCAGTGAATACAAAATTTAAAAAAATTCTCAAAAATTCATTTTCACCTGTATGTAAAATTATTTCATATTTTCCTACACCTGACTCATCCCTCAGTTTGGGAAAGTATGTTCAGTTGATACTGTATTGTTTGTCCAATCGCACTGTTCAGATACATTGACTTAAGTAGAGTACACAAAAGAGCAACCTTAGTTCTGGAATGCAAATACTACCGTGCTACCTATACCGCTGTTCTATAGTCATAAATCGATTTAACTGAAACAAATCCGGGTCACCAACCAAAACCGAGGGAAACACATCAACTGTAAGAGGAAAACAACGGATCAACAGAAAAACTCTGACTGAACTGCTACAAAAACAAACGCCAACATACATAGAAACGGACTATTTGATAACAACTACCATATTCCTGACTTGGAATGATACTCAATTATTTGTATATTTCCTGATAAATAAAGCATTATTGTGGTGTGCTGTAAGATATTGTTCTTGGACAATACACTGAACAACTATGATAGACCAATGTCAACTGTGTCACGCATTTAACTGAGCTCTGCAGATTTAGTGAATTGTCACGATTTTGATAAGACCTGTCGGAACAATGACAAACATGGGGTTGTTTCACGTTGCTGTTGGTAAGTTTGTTAAGATCAAATCAAGTTTAACTTATCAGTCATGTAATTCATTCAAGCCTTGTTATTTTATATCAAATTTAATTTGAGCAAAATGCACTACATGAATTCCTTCTTCTACAACAAGATTATTATATAAAGCTGATTTATTAGTACATTTGTACTGTGATTGGCATCTGAATGCATGCAGCATAAGGCATTTATAATCCACTGTTGTATTGACAGTATAAATGAACCCATTATGTGCGATGAAACAGTGCCATTATCTAAAACTCTAAGTGTTTGCTTTGATTTTATGTTGCAGGTGAACTGATTTGCTAATGATATATACGCCACCCCTATTTTGTTATATTAAATGGAGAGATGCATTGATTATTCGTATAAAATGGGCATTTTCAACGTAGTTCAGAACATAATTTTGGAAAAAGTATAAATAATATAAAAATGTATTACGAATAATTGTAAAACATTGTCAATTTGTATCCTTATATATACTATATAAAAATTAAAGTAACAATCTTTTTTATTGCAGTTGCCATTTTTTTGCAGTCACTTGTTCAAGGTATGTTTTACTTTTGAAATGTGTAGGGTATTTGAAAATCTTTTCGAAATGTTATTTAGAAATCATTTTTATTTTTATCTTTGGATAATTTGTAAATTTGAGAATGATCCTGAATCATAAGTTTCCAATTATCTGTTAACTTCGAAATACTGGAAATTGCTTTCTTTATATTTATTGTAATCCAACAGACCATGAGGCACGATTAGCTGTCATTTCTGAACAAGTACAATCAATATTTATAAATTGTAAAACAATACTACAAAAAGTGAGAGCCATTCTATACAGAATTATAAGAGACTATTAAAATGCATAGATATATTACATTAAACAATATGAAATAAAGTACTACTTGTAATATATAAAATTTCTACGTCTTCTTAAAATCAAATAACAGGTCAAATGACTTAAAAAATGTAACTAAATCATTAATAAACAAGTTGAAAAAAATACACGTAAGCATTCCAATACGCTAATTGTATTTTACTGCTTAACGAATGTTTTCTTTTTTACAGCTCAAAGGCACAATAGATGCTCCGATTATCAATCATATAAAGGTTATATTATTTTATGTATATAAGAACCTTATCAGTGGTTATACGTAGCATGTCATATCTTAAATTTGTCTTTATTTAGATATTTGGTATCTTTGATTGTTTTTTTTTTAAATTATAATTAAGAATCAATTATTTCTTTTTTTATACATTAAATACATTAAATATCACTAAAACAGTCAGCATTTTTTTTTTTTGAGATGGTGTATTTATTTAGTATAAGCCCATGATTAATATATCATGTATATACCACTGTCTTAGTTTATAACAAATAACAATTAACATAAATATATAGATTTTACCACTGCATCGAGTGTGATACGATATTTATCCACTCGAGACAGTTAATTTTTCAAATTTAAAACGCGAGGCTCACCGAGCGTTTTAAATATTTAAAATTTAACTGTCGAGAGTGGATAAATATCGTATCACACGAGATTTGGTGGTGGAATTTGTTTCTCTAATGATTTTCAAACAATATGCAGGCAAACTTATTCCGTCTTTTCGAATGATCTGTAAAAAGATGTTTTCTTTCTATGTGACGTCATCAGGCATGGTCGCCTTTTTTCATGCCATCACAATAGGAAATTCAGAGGAAAGCAAGTGAATTCGACGTAATAATCGGATTTTAACCAATGAAGAACTGAGATCAAACGAACCACACGTTGATTAATTTTTTTTATACAATGGGTACAGAAAGGGATAAATCGACGAAGAATTAGAGAAATCATAATACATCAACTCGGTATTCTCAGTCTTTGCATGTTTTGGTGATCAAACAACTGAAAAAAAATTGGGTCAACGTATGTTACACTCAGCTATCAAATGCATGCACTTTTTTTAATAGATGTAACATTCTGACGCAAAACTGCAAAGTGTTGTTCGGCATATCTTGAAAAGTGTAGCACTAGTACACATTTAGTATCATAACGTTTTTAGAAGACATTTCACAGTGTCTTATTGAGTAATTGTGTAACTTTGTGTCAGTATCGAGTTAAGTTGTAACATTGGGGGACAATAAAACACACGATCGTGTCGAGTTAGGTTTAACATTGAGACACATTTCTACATACGATTAAATCATGTTATCTTGTTACAATTTAATGAGGTAGTTAACAAGATTGTACCGAGTTATCGCGTGTCAGTGTGAACAAAATTACTCAGGATCGTTTCGAGATATAGTGTACAATTCAGACACAATACATTGGATCGTATCGACCAATCGTGGATTAGTCTGACATAATACAAAGCAGGGTCATATCGTGGTATCTTGTAACATTATGAGACAGATCTATACATGATCGTATCGAGTTAAAATTGAATCACATTGTGAGAAATACTACGCCGGGCGTATCAAGTTACAATGTGTTACAATATTATAGTAAAAAGGATCGTATTGCGTGATCGTGTAACAATTAGTCAAAACAGGACTCAGTATCGACTCGAGGTATTTTGTAACGATCTAACACTATTCTACATAGGTGTACAAAATTGGCTTGTAACATTATGTCACAAAACTAAACATCATCGAACTGACCCAATACTACAACGATTTATCGTGTATAATTCTGACTCAAAACTACACGGACTCGCATCAAGTAATCGTGTAACTTTGTATCAAAATGCTACATATTATCTTATCAAGTTATTTTTTAACGTTCTGACACAATACTGTACATGATCGTATCGAGCATCGATTATCACTGTGACACAAAACTAGATATGATCAAATCGGGTTACGCTGTTACAATGGAACGATCTGTCTTTTCGGGTTATTCTGTAAAATTTTGTCACAATACAGCATCATATAGAGTTAGAGTGATTATGTGCAATTCTGATTAATAATAAATAAAATACTGCACTTTGTTTTATCTGGTTCTGATAAAATTGTGACACTATGCTACACACAACTGTATTGAGTTATCATTAAAAATTGACATTTAAATTTTGTGTCAGAATAGTACAAAGGATCATATCGTGTCGTAATCGAGATATTGTTTTACATTATGAAACACTTCTATTATTTTTTCCTTCTTATTATTAATGAATATTTTGAATGAAAATCATAATCAACAAATCAGGCTTTGTCTGAAAACTGCATGGTTATTTCGATTCTGTTATATAAGACCTTTTCCGTTGATAACATTAATTTAAAAAAAAATCACTTTTTACAAGAAGAAATTGTTAGAATTGCGCACCATGATTTTTAAAGGCGAATTCTTTATATACAGATAAAATAGAACACAATTGAAACTATTTAGAATAATGAATTTCACTACCTGCTAAAAATAAGCAATTTGCACTTCAAGTTAAATGCACCAGAAGAAAAAAATTACTAGGAAGATGTCACTAAAATCATCATGTTCAGAATTTTAACAGTTTTATTTTATTTACAGACTTGTTTAATGCTATTGAGAGTAACCCATGCTTACCTGACTCTGAAGGTAACAAATACCTTATAGAATAGATAACTTAAAATGAAGTTATAGATAGGTATTGACGAAAATATTCCCAAGATATGATGGATGCGGCAAATTTGTAATAGTATTCTTATTTCACAAGAATATGAAAATAAGGAAATGTAGTATTATTGCAAACGAAACAACTATCACACAAAGACTAAAGAACAATGTACTTCAAACAAACACTCCATACAAATAAAAACATATTAAAACGAACAAGAAGACTTGCATACTAGCAAGACCATCAACATGACTAACACGAACTAAAAAAATATAAGAAACTGTGCTGTGTTGACCTTTTGGACTCTTTGTCACAGCACTAAGAAATTTAAGTATTATTGTACAAAAAAGGATATAGCATAGAAGTTCAAGAGACAATTATTCAACGAGACACAGCGATGTTATGGCCGGTCTTCAATATCTCGAATAGAGTGACGTTTTACAGAGCGAACTCCAAACAGCATAATCAACTTTGTCTCTGATAGCGTTCACAAAAGCAGTTCTATATCTCGTAAAAAACCTCTATATTATCATCGTCATTGAAGGAGAATGTACAGAAGTAATTAATTTGAAATAAACGGACAGTCTTCCAACAAAAATTTATTTATTTCAGACGTTGTCCGATGAATAATCTCATGAACTTAACAACAAATACTTTTAAGCAAACAGAAGCTGTATAAAGACCCTTCTGAAATATTTTAAGTTAAGCTAGTGCTGAAATAGACTATTCAAATTTTTCATGTGTGCATTAATATGATAAAGAGTTTTTCATGTTGCAATAAGATCAGGCGACACCTTGATCATCCTTTACCAAGAGCTTGTTGATTAATATTCCGTATCAACTTCACAAATAATACATGATGGTCTTGAAGTATAGATTCTAGGTACTTACGTTATTTATCATGTTAATTACGTGTTATAGTGTTCTTTTATTTGTCTTTGCATATTATTAACCTTTACTGTTTAGCTCCGTTTTTGGTAATAATCTCTTTGCGTGGCTCGGTACTTATACACCCCGCCAATCCATTGTGTTTGTGTGCTATAATCATTTTTTGTATTCTTGTCTTTCATTTTTGCTTATGTGCTTTGTCTATATGCCATTTTGTTTTTCTTTGTTGACATATTAGTTTATTTTTATGATGATTAAGATCATAACACAACGTTGGCTGCTGTACCCCTATTTTTGACTTCTTTACCTATTATGTCTGTTTGTTTTGTTCACATTGTTGTCAATATAATGAAATTTTTTATACGACTGTCATACCAGTGAGAGGTTTAGCTAGCTATAAAGCCAGGTTTAATTCACCATTTTCTGCATAAGGAAATGCCTGTACCAAGTCAGGAATATGACAGTTGTTTTCCATTCGTTTGATGTGTTTGAACTTTTAATTTTGCCATTTTATAAAAGACTTTCCGTTTTGAATTTTCCCTGGAGTTCGGTATTTTTGTTATTTTACTTTTTAATATGTTTCAATTGTAAGGTTTCGGTGATTTTTATGTATATTTATATTTCAGTTAGTTCATTCATATTCATATTTCAGTTTGGCACCTATTAAACGGCATAACTTATACTAGTTGCAAACATTATGCGGCACAGAGACTGTATGGTATGTTTTGTAAATTTTAACTGTCTTTAAAAATTATGATTAAAAGACATAAAACATTTACACACACACACAATACGAATCAAAATATACATCGCTTAAAGAAGAAAATAAATATCGTAATAATGGTTCATGTTTCTACCTATTTAGAATCATTTCCTTTCAGAACGATAGATATTTCTTTTAAACAATCAACCCTGACGAAACTAACTTTCACTGAAATGTGCTTAAGGGTAAATAATGACCTGTGTATGGTCATTATTTACACTGATTTAAAAGCCACACACACACACACACACACACACACACACACACACACAGTAAATAATTTTTTTTCATTTGATTTCACATATAGTTAGCATGTATTGAGGCTAATCGGTGTTTTACTGTACACATTTTATGTCTTTAATATTCTTTTAAGGTTAAAGGTAGAAACAATCATTCCCTCCATATATATATACGACCGAAATAACAAAAAAACACGTCATCAACGTACAGTTTAACTTTCGACACACAAATAATGGGATGGACTGTCATTTTTTTATACAGTCAAGTAACATTACCTGGGATAAATTAGAAATGTAAAATGTTTCATAACTCTTTAAAAACAAGTTCAAAAAATTTTCACAAATCATGTGTAGGAATGTCATGAAACCAAAATATATAAGATCTTGCTAATTAAAACCTTATTGGAAATCGTATCTTATGGTGTCGGATTGTTCCTACGGTCGGTAATTTATTTGTTTAAAACTGACACCCCTTGATGTGTTATACGACAACAAAACCTTGCAATATGCATTATCTATAACCTAACTCAATATTAAAGAGGTAGAACCTATTCCCTTAGTATATGTTTCATCGGGTGAGAAATAATCAGAAAGTTACCAAATCTTCTACAATGTGACTATTATAGGGTCGACATAATTTGCTAAAAATTTCAGCAATTTTGAGAATGTCTTAACGTAAACTATTGCTGTGACGTCAGCCTATTCGTTTAATGTGGTTCCATTTTCTAGAATGAACGCTTCCTGAATCTTTTGCTGAAATGGACAAACCAAATTATATTCAATTGTTTCCTTTGTGTGCTAAATTTCATTAATTTGAATTGGCAAATTTACTGATTTCTGTTCACTAATGAAATAAATTTTAAAACTTACCCTTAAATTTTGTAATATTCATTTGCCTTCACCGGGAATCGAACCACATGCTTTAAGTTTGTCATGTATGACTGACATCAAACATATTGACGTAACCCACGGCTTCCAATGGGTTGTAATTAAGATTTCTAATATATATACATATATAATCTCAACATATATTAAGATTTGATGTAGCGGCATGGTAATTAACATTATCAGCACTTTGACGTTAGCAATGATACTCTCCTTTTCTGTTTAACTTGTAGGCAAATATCAGCACTTTGACGTTAGCCAGTGTGGATGTACAGGACATTATTCGAGCTGGCGTAAGAATGTTAAATTTATTTTAATTTAAGTGTTGAAACTATATACAGAAGCGTGAACGTATATTTTTTTTAAAGTTGTTTAAGACTTCCATGTATTTCTTATTCTATCGATCGAGATTAAGAGGGATGGAATTGAAATCATCAAAACAAAGTTTGATGTATATTTGATCCACTCCTTTTCAATGTTTGACCTCTGAATGATGTTGGATAGCTGTCTCATTAACAGATATCCAACATCCCCATTTTATCATACTGATATTGAACTGAGTGGCATCGAGAATATCTGAAAATCAGTCGCTAGATATGTGTACCATCTTTTAAAAAGTAACAGGGAAGTTAATATGTCATCGCAAGAACGAAGAACTGCATTGATGAGTCTTATGTAGACGAAACGCGCGTCTGGCGTATCAAATTATAAGCCTGGTACCTTTTTTAACTAATTCAGCCGTTTTGACTTTTAGTTGTTATTTCTATAAACCCTGTGTTATGAATTTTTCCATTTTAATTTCCGTTTTATGACAATCAATTCTGTTTTGAGTATAGATATTTTAATCGTCTGCCTAAAAAGCATAGAAAAGGCAACAGTACATGTAACGTAGTGACTGTAAATGTCATCGAAATCATAGAGTAAAAATAAAGATATGTGGTATGATTGCAAATGAGACAACTATCCACTAGAGTTCAAATTACGTGGAATTAAGCATTCAAAGGTGTCAGACCAACAATTCAAATTCCCTATCTATTCAACCAAATTTTGAAATTTTCACAGCTTTCTAAATATTTTAACTTACGTTTAATTTCATAGAAACCAGGTATATCCTGAATTGTACATGTATCACCTTTCTACATGCCAATTTTAAACCAATGTTTAAAGTCTTGTAGCAAAATATCACCGTTCAAGAGTCAAGTACTACTAAAAAAATCTGGCTTTCTGGAAATTCAATTGATGAACAACAAATATGACAGACACGAACCAACGACAACCACTGAATGGTTAGCTTCTGACTTGGGACAGACACATACAGAATGTGACATGGTTAAACATGTTTGTGGTGTGAATGTTTTAGATATTACACATACACTTGAATAATTTACACAGCAAAGATCAGTCGAGGCAAATAGGAAATTGCATAATATTATGAAATATCCTAATTAAACACATTATTATGAAATTCAATAATATTAGTTATTCGAATAATTTTGTTGCTATATTATGAGATTTCGTAATTCATAAAATTATGGAAATCCATAATATAAGAAGAAATTTTGATTTTCAATTAATTTTTTCGTTCGTTTTTTGGACCCCTTGACTATTTTTGGGAAATTCTTCGGAGAAAAAAGTTATTTCTGAGTGGCGTTTATATCAGGGCGTTAGGAACAACTGTCAGATTTTCTACGAAACGCCTAAAATTTTCCCGAATCCCCGCTATATGAATTATTTCGAATATTTGACAATGGGAGGTAATCCATATCGACTAAATGGGCAAATTGCGGTTATTGCTCTTAGATAATTATATTTTTATCTTATGTTGATGATGTGAATTTTTAAAATGTCTTTATTACTTTGCAGTGATTTACATCTGTTTACATCTGTTTACTTTAATTACTTTTATTCATCTTAAATCATATAGTTAGGCCACACCAATTAAATTCCTTGTTCGACAGACCAGTCCCCATAATATTTATGTCTAAACAAATTTTTTTTTTTTTTAATATTCCCGCTTCCAGCATCTGGAAATGTAACTGGGTGTATTTCCCGCGCCTGTTTTTTTGTAAACATTTAAGAAATGACTTTAATATGTTTTCTGTCTATTCGAAATAACATAAAAAATGTGGTGCACACTAAAGTCATTTCTTAAAATTTAATTCTAAAAAGAAGTAAATCATAATAAAAACATTGATAACGTCTCGGTCGCATGACAAAATTATGTCTATGAGCTGAAAGACAAAACACTTTCAGCCAATCAGAAGACGTGTTACATCCAAAATTAAATTATTACTAAATTAATTAGCGATCATCAGAGCGTTTTAATCGACGTCAAATCGCGATCCTTTAAACTGTCTCATGCATAAACACATATTTCTTATCAAAGTCACGACGAAGAAACACACAACCAACATACATGTATAACACAAAAAACTAAAATGTATACACATTAACGAACACAATAAATCCCTAAAACTTTGGGTGAACTCAGGTGTTCGGGAAGGATAAACAACTCCTGCTTCTTGCAAGACATCCGCCTTGTTTTTAATTATAAGTCAGGTCTTGTGAATGAGGAAAGACATCTATGAAAGTTCAATGAAAATCATTTAAGACAGTTAAAATAATTATTGAATTATTCAGTTCGATATCTGATGTTCTTAGAAAGTAACAGTAATACAAGAAACCATAAATATGATGCAATTAAAAGTGGGCATTACATGTTGGTGAACAGAAAAAAACACATCAGCAGTTGATATATTAAACAAATGCCAAAGTTCAAGTTGTAAATCAAATTTCATACCATCTTGATCAATATTGTATGAACCTATGATTTTATTTTTCAAAAAAAAATATATATAATTGGTCGCCTTTACTTTTGAAGCTTCTCTTCAAAAATTTGTAATTTTTTTTTTTTAATTTTCAAATCGCTCGCTCGCACTAATTTCTGGAGTGGAAAAATCCGTAGAACAAGAAATTAAATTGTTGTGGCCTTAAAGACGTTAAAAATTAAACGTAATTGTTAAGACTGTTGTCATTTTGAACAATAAAACATTGATAAAATAATAAATACATTTGGTGATAATGGTGTAATTTTTCCAAATAAAATAACGACAATTAACAAATGAATTTAACAGTTAAAAGTATATTTTGTTATCAATTTTGTATATGCAGATATTTACTTTATTTATTGCGTGTATAAGACACTCTGATAACAACAAAATAACGATAAAAATGGTTTCAAGTTTAATTATAAATGACATTGCCTTTTCCCTATTTTGTTGGGGTAATACATAACCTTTTGTTAAATGAATCATTGGTTAAACTAGGATTCACACATTTTGAGGAGATTCAAAACAGTTTTCAATCAACAAATAAAGTTGTAGACATTTTTCTTGTACATGGAAGAATCCTAAAATATAGCTTTGATTTATCGATAAACTCCAGATTTAGCATTATGTCTTTTTTTTAAACTGAGCCCTATCCGTGATCAAATGATTTCCTAAATAGTATGCAGTTGTCAAATTAATGGTCATAATGGAACGTTAAGAATTAAGACACATACAAAATGCAGGGTATTCGTAAACGAATAATTATCTTCTGAACGTACACTATCTAAATAAAAATCTAATCAGATTAAGTAGACACACTTCTGTATAATATCATTCCGAGTGATAAGTTTATCCGACCAGCCTACAGTTATAACATCACAGTTGTTTGAATTATTACAAAGAGATGTCTCACTATGCCTGTGATCTTGATTTAAAGCGGAACTAGTTAATATTTTTATCGTTATGAAAGTGTTCATTATACAAAATATAAATATTTAACTTAACAAATGACAAGAAGGGATACTGTGCAACGATTAAACAAATTAACACCGTATAAAATCGATATATTAAATTATTTCATATATAATGTAAAATGTAAAATGTATTCAGAAAAAAGTTAATCTCTTAATGAAATTTATTTTAAAATTGTTACTGATAATCTTATTTTCACAAAGTCTTAAGATTGTTAACCACAGTGTGTTTACGCACACCGGTCTATTCACTTGCATCAAACTTTTAAACAGTTTTAATGTCCTTATGAATGTTATAAATTGAAACTAATTCTGATCTGGTCTCCAAGATTATTTTTTTACGAAAGCATTATCATGATTAATCATTTAAAACTGATTTTAACAATAATCAAAACACTAGAGGTTTTCTTGATTTGTACGATTTATTCATATCAATTATTTATTACTTATATCCAACAAACAGGCATGATGAAACATCATTGATCCTGTATGTGTTCCAACAATGTTACAAAAGAGTGTGCGTTCAATAAGCATGATAAGTGATAGAACCTTTGAAGGACAAAATTAATGTACCTGTCGGATATTTTTATTATAGAACAAGTTGTCGTTGTGATGCATCGTTCTTTCATCACATTTAAATAAAGAAGTTATTCAAAACATCTTCGTTAAACCTGGTTTTACAGCTAGCTTAACCCCCCACTTGTATGACAGTCGCATACAATTCCATTATATTGACAACGATGTGTGAACAAAACAAACAGACACAATAGGTAAAAATGTCAAAAATTGGGGAACAGCAGTCAACATTGTGTAATCACTATAAAAACAAACCAATATATAATAAAGAAATACAAAAAGGCATATAGACAAAGCACATAAGCAAAAATGAAAGACAAGAATACTAAAATTGACCATAACACAATGACGGGATGTATAAGTACAGAGCCACGTCATATGTAACAAAGAAACACAAAAAGACATATAGACAAACAACATTAGCAAAAACATGATAAAGGAAAGACAAGAATACAAAAATTTACCATAGCACAAAACACAATAACAGAACGTTCCATCTCTTTTGAAATTCGTCTGCGATATCCCTCAAATCATTTGGGTCAGTTGGTTATGAAATCACCTCATCTTTATATTCTTCAACTATTGCTCGGCAAACCTCGGGTAAAAATTTGCTTACAGTATTCCGAGCAACTCTTAAGTCATACTGCTAGGTAGAATACTTTTCACCAGTAGCTTATTGTCTTAATGTGATGGTAAATTTGAAACCAGGCGACAAGGCTCTTCTATATAGAGTATCTGTCTTCTTGATTCTTGGTTTAACTTTTTCAAATATAATGCATCGAACATCTCTGGTGGCATTCTCAGAAAATTAAAGAAGGAAGGTTCATCCTCGAATCGTAACTCGTTCATCAACTGACCATAATGACCACACTGGAGCCTCCTTTCGGAGGAAAACTAAGATCAACCCCAACAGGCCTA